CCCCAAAATACCGAAAATCAAGAGCGATTGGTGCCACTTCAGTGGAAAAAAGTGCGTAGTCCAATTTACAAACATTAGAAGCCGTCATAGACAAAGACACGAAATACATTTTAATGTTTGACGTAAACAGCGGAATGTACAAATCCCTTACAAACTATAGAAATGCCATGCTCATGTTTGCATTATCCTGTTACAATCGAAAATCCATGTTATATGCGAGTTTTAGTTTAGAGCTAAGAGAAAACGCAAATTCCTGAATGTAATGTAAACTGACTATGCAACTGTTTTAATCTGCATATACCCATTAGTTAAATCCTTGTGGACTAAAATAGATAGGCTGCTTCGTAACAGTTTATTTCAAATATGAAAAACTTACTCCTCCCTTGCATTTGCTGATGCGCGCCATTAAGTGGCTGTCTGATATTGTTCATCGTTATCTGTCATTAAAATGCTTAATACAAAAAGGTAAGCTTGCCTTTTAGCTCCAAATCTACCAACCGCTGCAAATGACTTCCAAGCCAACCAATTTCATTTTAATGAGAAAGCCCATTTGGGATAAAGCCGAAACGCTGGGTTTGGTCTTTCATCTAACTGACCATATGGGTTGGGTAGAAATAAACCATATTTTGTGCTGTTTTCAAAAAAGGGAAGCTTATTTAAAAAGGTACATGCAAAAGAGTCCTTTCCTTTTGTCATTTTGTATAAGCTACTACTGTTTATAAAAAAATTTTAGTCAAATACCTCGTGGTAGCATTTCTGACATCAAAAACTGAAACCTACGAAAGATGCGGTTCCGCAGAAGTAATTGAACGCTAAAAGTCAAAAAACGCCACCATTAACGGTAGCTAATCACTCCCCATAAATCAAGTTTCGTGTCCACTTTGTGAAGAGTAGAAAAGCTGGCGATTAGATGCCAAGACAAAACATAGCAGATAACATTTTCAACGTGCTGCTACGGGAGCAGCACGAGCCTTCTGTCATATCTAAATTGTCTAATAGCAAGAGACTGATAACTGATGGACGATGGGTCATATTTCTAAGCGAAATTTGTTTACCAACAGACATGTAGGAACAAATAAAGGGGTGACGGAATGAGCGGAACAAGAACCAGTGAATGATATTGTGTGTGCAGTTTGGTTGGCGCAATGAGTGATATACTGTTGATTACCTTTTCATAATAAATAGGGTTCTTTGTGACGTATGACAGATATTCGAATTCCATGTGGAGGGTTCCAAACTCTGACAGTATGGACGATCCTCCTGTAGCCCAACTAGCGCTTTTTCCGGTTTTTCTGCAAAACAAACATGTAGACGAAAAACGTAATGGCAGACTAGTAAAGAAAACACCTTATGACATCAAGATATCCATATGGTATGCCGGTAGGTGTGTTGAAGGCTGGAAGAAGCAGATCCGCTATAGCAACTGCCTTCTCGACAAACATCTAAGGCGAATCATGCAAAAACAGCAAAGAATCATTCGACACTGCAGATATTACTGCTATATACATATTACAGTAAAGAGCAAAAGTTGGCAACTTTTAGAGACTAGATAAAAACGCTACTTACACACGCCACATCATT